TAAATCTCCCTGGCTGTAGGTTAAGCCCATTACTTCTTGTCCTACCTTCTGTGGACATGGCAAACAATTGATCCCTGTCCCCTTTATAGCAGTCCTTAACATCTTTGAAGACTGTTATCAGGTCCCCCCTCAGTCTTCTTTTCTCAAGAATAAACATGCCCAGTTTGTTTAACCTTTCCTCAAAGGTCAGGTTTTCTAAACCTTTCGTCATTTTTGTTGCTCTCTGGACTCTCTCCAATTCATTCACATCTTTCCTAAAGTGTGGCTCCCAGAACTGTACACAGTACTCCAGGTGAGGCCTCACCAGTGCCGAGTAGAGCCTGGCAATTACCTCCTGGGTCTCACATTCGACATTCCTGTTAATACACCCCAGAATGATATTACCTTTTTCACAATCATATTCAAGTTGTGATCTACTATAACCCCCCAGATCTTATTCAGCTGTACTACCACCTCGCCAGTTATTCCCCATTTTGTAGTTTTGCATTTGATTTTTTCCTTCCTGAGTAAAATACTTTGTACTTACCTTTGTTGAATTTCATCTTTTTGATTTCAGACAAATTCCCCAATTTGTCAAGGAGGTTTTGAATTCTAATCCTGTCCTCCAAAGTGCTTGCAACATCTCCCAGATAGGTGTCATCTGCAAATTTTATAAGCATACTCTTCACTCCATTATCCAAGGCATTAATGAAAATATTGACTAGTACCAGACCCAGGACTGACCCCTGTGGGACCCCACTAGATACGCCCTTTCGGTTTGACAGCGAACCACTGATAACTACTTTTTGAGTATGGTCTTTCAACCAGTTATGCATCCACTTTACAGTAATTTCATCTATACCCCTTTTCGCTAGTATGCTTCTGAGAATGTCTTATGGGACTGTGTCAAAATCAAGATATATTGCCTCTACTGCTTCCCCCTAACCACTAGGCCAGTAACCCTGTCAAAAAAGGAAATTAGGTTAGTTTGGCATGATTTGTTCTTGACAAATCCATGCTGGCTCTTTCTTATAACGTTATTATCCTCTTGGTGCTTACAGACTGATTATTTAATAATTTGTTTGAGTATCTTTCTAGGTATTGAAGTTAGGATGATGGGTCTGTAATTCCCCAGGTCCTCTTTGTTCCCCTTTTTAAAGATAGGTACTATGTTTGCCGTTCTCCAAAATAATTGCTAATGGTTCTGAGATTGCTTCAGCTAGTTCCTTAAGTACCCAAGGATGAATTGCATCAAGCTCTGCTGACTTTAAGACATCTAATTTATCTAAATATTCTTTAACATTTTCTTTTCCTGTTTTGGCTTGTGTTCCTTCCCCCTTGTTGTTCATATTAATTGTTTTGAGTATCTGATCACCATTAACCTTTTTAGTGAAGAATGAAATAAACTAGGCATTAAACACCTCAGCTTTCTTGATGTCTTCAGTTATTAACCCTCATTCCCCACTAAGTAGAGGACCTTTTTGTCTTTCTCTTGTTCCTAATGTATTTTTAAAACCACTTCTTATTGCCTTTATGTCCCTGGCTAAGTATAACTCATTCTGTGTCTTTGCCTGTCTGGTTTTGTCCCTACATACTTGTGCTATTCTTCTGTATTCCTCCTTTGCAATTTGCTCAAGTTTCCAGTTTTTGTAGGATTCCTTTTTGATTTTCAGGTCATTAAAGAGCTTGTGATGGAGCCATACTGGCCTCTTACGATTCTTCCTATCTTTCATTTGCATTGGGATAGTCTGCAGTTGTGCCTTTAGGCCAGATCTCCTGAACTTCTTTTTTCCCTTAGGTTTTCTTCCCATGGGACCTTACTTGCCAGTTCTCTGAGCTTGTTGAAATCGGCTGTTTTAAAGTCCATTGTCCTTACTCTGCTTTTCTCATGACTTTCTTTCCTTAGAATCATTAAATCCATCATTTCATAATCACATCACCCAAATTGCCTTAGACCTTCAGATCCACTATCAATTCCACCCTGTTGGCAGAATCAAGTTTAAAATGGCTGCCTCCCTGTTTACTTCCTCCTCGTTCTGAAACAAAAAGTTGTTCCCAATACATTCCAAGAACTTATGGGAAATGTTGTGTTTTGCCGTATTACATTTCAAACAGATGTCTGGGTCGTTAATGTCCCGCATTACAACCAGGTCTTGTGTTTTGTGTATTTATATTGGTTGTTTAGAAATGCCTCATCCACCTCCTCTTCCTGATTTGGTCATCTGTAGTAGACCTCTACCATGACATCATCCTTATTTTTTCCCCTTTTTATCTTGCCTCCGAAACTTTCATCTGGTCTGCTTCTGACCTCCTTCTGGATCTCAGAACAAGTGTATATATTTTTGATGTGTAATGCAACACCTTCTGCCTTTTTATCCTGCCTATCCTTCCTGAACAAGCTATACCCTTCTATTCCAAGAACTGAATGGAGCATAGATACAGAATTCCCCTTTCTCTTCAGATTAGGGCTTGGGAATACTAGAGGGATGTATGAACAAAGCTTGCCCTGATGCTGCTCAAGTTGTACCTGTCCTGTGAATAAACAGTAGACTTTAGTCTTGTCAGTCCAGCAACTTTCACCAGAGCTAAATTCTTTTGAAATAAATAAAGTTGAACTGAAGTATCTTCTCCTATGAATGTGTTTGCAAAAGTACAACTTCCAAATTAATGTGGGCTGCACTGGTTCATCGAAAGGAGAAGGGACTCACAGCACCTCTGAAAATCAAACCATACGTTTATAGAATCAGCCTGGTGCTTCTGGGGTATTCCCTCCGGTGTTCTTTGGATGTGAGCGGTAACCATTTTGATTTGCTAAGCTAGGCTGTTGCACGTCTTGCTATTATTAATAAATCTTTTTTTATAAAATGGATTAAAATTACAGGGAGAACTGGTTTTAAAGATCAGTTTGAATGAAAAGAATACCTCATGATCAAAACAGATTGTGATAGGTATGTTTTGACCTGGCAGAACTTGGGAAAAAGAAAATGTCTTGTGTATCCGCTCAATTAGACGTCGTCATGCCCTTATCTAGGGATGGCCTTGAAGAAAGGAGGTGCCATCCCTTCAACAATCAGCCACAGCACACTCCCGCTTCTGCAGGGGCCCCACCCCCATAGTGCTCCAAGTTCTCTGTCTTTCGGAGGGAGATTCCTTGTGTTTTATCTTGAGTTCATCTTGAATTCTCCTGTGATCTGACACATAAGGAAGTGTCCATGGCTGGCCAGGAGGACTCTGGGAGGTGGTTGTCTTGGTGTAGGAGGAGGAAAAGGCCCACTCACATTACTTGATGTGATACCTGCAATATCTATGAGTGAATACTTATGAGGTACCTGCAGTATCTAGGAGTGGCCTTTCCAGTGTCCTCGTCAGTCAGGGATAAAGCTCATGTGTCCTGGCAAAGCTTGTGAACAGAACAGATATAATTCACAGTCTCCATGATTCCACTAGTGATTTCCCAAGCATTGCTGCCATATGAGCATCACCCAGAAGACCAGTTTCATACAGAAATTAGTGCAATCCCTAATACTGGCCTGTTTCCTTCTGCAGGCATCAGGCTCCTTTAGGCAGCTTGTCCCTGTCAGAATTTCCAGTTCCTGACCTTTTTGGTCCCCTTTTATCATCAGAGAATTTAAATAACCACTTGTGTCCAATATGGTTTCTCTTTGAAGCACCAGAAGAGAGGGTGCTTAAGATAGCAGGAATGGGTAAATGAGGAGGAAAGGGCCTGAATGAGAGGGGGCTGCATTGTTCAGCAAATTGCAGTTGGTAGCATTTTGCTGCCTGTCTCTAAGATGAGAATAATAACAATGACCAATTGTTCTTTATGTTGGACTTAGAAGAACACTGGCAGGCTAAAAATCATATATTAAAAAATGTAACCATTCTTACATTTGTTATTAATATCACCTTAGATGCTGTTTATTTGCTTTACATTTTTTTCTTAAACCATAAAAATAAGCTAGTCTGAGTTACTGATTTTATAGAGTCAGTTTCACTTTCAGTTTCTCATGCATGCGTACCCACAAGTGTACACATACCCCTGATTGAGAACCACTGATCTAAACGGACAAGAGAGGGGGAAGAGAGGCAATATTAAATCAAAAATAATTCTTGGGAGAGAGAGAAGTGGACTGAGAGATTAAAAAGATAGTTATTTTTTAGCCAGCTGTAAAAGCAGTGAGAGGTAAATAAGAGGACCAGTTAGATCTGTATCTGAACATTCGGGTCTTGTCCAAACTATCCAGACTTCTTGGTTAAGCCAAGTTGATGAAGTTCTCCTGAGAACAGGCATTTTGTCCAGGTTTCTTTTACTTCCTACTTCTGGTCAGGCAATAAATACCCTCAGACAGCTTTTGTCTTGGTATTGCAGCAGTTCTAGTCCCAGCCGGTGTAGTGTCAAAAACCCCAAGGTGCAGTGAAAATAGGGCAGAAAGTTAATGGATCTCCTTTGATTCTTGACCGAGGGTTTGTTCACTTTTGAGTAATGAGTGACCTAAACCAAAACCCTGGACACACATACAGTTGGAATTTTGGAAAGGTTTCAAATCCAAACCATGGTCCAGATTTGGATTTTGCAAATGGCTGCCACCTTTATTAAGGGCTGAACTACAATACACAGGATCTAACTATGCCCTAACTTTGGGAGTTTCAAAATCCAGATCTAGATAGAGGGCCAGAAATTTTTAAACGACAGCCTCATCATATTACCAGTATGGTGTAAAGATCATTACTGTAAGTGAGAATCTGACCATTAGAGTCTTGTCTAGTTTTGCTTGAAGATTCAAGGTGTGGGTCTCTGCTCATCCATCCCATAGAGATCCTGCTAAATCTTTTCCCTGGGGAGTTGATCATCTCCACGCGTAGAGGTGATGCTTTGTGCTCAGTGCCCCTTTATGGTACCTCTAAGATATTCCCTGCGGCGTATATCCAGTGGGCAGGTGTTTTAACCAGCATCTCAGCTGTGGACATGCAGAGGACAAGCCCTGATCTGTCTCTCTGTTTTGTCTCATCCTTTGCTACAGGTAACATCAGTTGCAAGGGGATGACAGAGCGCATTCACAGCATCAACCTTCACAACTTCAGCAATTCTGTGCTCGAGACCCTCAACGAGCAGCGCAACCGTGGCCACTTCTGTGACGTGACGGTCCGCATCCACGGGAGCATGCTACGCGCCCACCGCTGCGTGCTGGCGGCTGGCAGCCCCTTCTTCCAGGACAAGCTGCTGCTGGGGTACAGCGACATCGAGATCCCCTCAGTGGTGTCAGTCCAGTCCGTGCAAAAGCTCATTGACTTCATGTACAGTGGGGTGCTGCGGGTCTCACAGTCAGAGGCCCTGCAGATCCTCACAGCTGCCAGCATCCTGCAGATCAAGACTGTGATTGACGAATGCACAAGGATCGTCTCGCAGAATGTGGGGGAGGTCTACCCAGTGATTCAGGACTCTGGGCAGGAGACGCCCAGGGGGACCCCCGAATCGGGCACCTCAGGGCAGAGCAGCGACACAGAGTCTGGCTACCTGCAGAGCCACTCGCAGCACAGCGTGGACAGGATCTACTCGGCTCTTTATGCCTGTTCCATGCAGAATGGCAGTGGGGAGCGCTCCTTCTACAGCGGAGCAGTGGTCAGCCACCATGAAACAGCCCTGGGGCTCCCCAGAGACCATCACATGGAAGACCCCAGCTGGATTACACGGATCCACGAGCGCTCACAGCAGATGGAGCGGTACCTCTCCACCACTCCAGAGACCACACACTGCCGCAAGCAACCACGCCCGGTCCGGATCCAGACCCTGGTGGGCAACATCCACATCAAACAGGAGATGGAGGATGACTATGACTACTATGGCCAGCAGAGGGTGCAGATCCTGGAGCGTAATGAGTCTGAGGAATGCACTGAGGACACTGACCAAGCAGAAGGCACTGAGAGTGAGCCCAAGGGGGAGAGTTTTGACTCTGGAGTCAGTTCCTCCATTGGGACTGAGCCTGATTCCATGGAGCAGCAGTTCATGGCTAACCTGGGCCGAGAGGGTCAGCAGGAACCTTCCCAAGTAGAGCAAAGTGAAGTCCCTGCTGAAGGCACACAGACCCAGCCGCAACACCTAGATGCCAACACTTCCTCGCCGGACAGAAGCAATGACATTGAAATGGACAGCAAAGTGCTCATTGTCAGTAACAACAGCGAAAAGGGGGCCTTGCAGCCTTCTGTCAACACAACAGTTGCCCAACCATTGCCAAGCACCCAACTCTACTTACGCCAGACAGAAACCCTCACCAGCAATCTGAGGATGCCGCTGACCCTGACCAGCAACACACAGGTCATTGGCACAGCTGGCAACACCTACCTGCCCGCCCTCTTTACCACACAGTCTGCTGGCAGTGGACCTAAACCTTTCCTTTTCAGCCTGCCCCAGCCCTTAGCTGGCCAACAGACACAGTTTGTGACAGTGACCCAGCCTGGCCTGTCAACCTTTACTGCCCAGCTGCCAGCCCCACAGCCCTTGGCCCCATCTGCGGGCCACAGCACAGCAGGTGGACAGGGTGAAAAAAAGCCTTACGAGTGCACTCTCTGCAACAAGACTTTCACCGCCAAACAGAACTATGTCAAGCACATGTTTGTACACACAGGTGAGTGCATGGCCACTTGGCTTATATGTGAGCCCAGGGACAGGCCTTTACAAATATGCAGTTGATTTTGACAGGTATTCCATTTCCCAGCGTGCCAGTCCCTAACGCAGACATGAGACGGTCTTCAGATCCTTAGAGGATTCTAGTTATCTCTGGGCACTGTTACTGCCGTGATGAGAATATAACTAGTGTTCACCACAACATGGGAAGGGAAAACACTGGGTGTCTGATCCATCAGCCTTTACTCACATGAGGAGTCCTATTGAAGTCAGTGAATGAGTAAGGGCCTCAGGACAGGCTCCTGGTTAATAGGGATCTAAGGGTGTCAAGGATACAGGGAAGGAAACTCTTCCTATAATCAATGAAATGTGTCTTAGGTGACTATCCAAGGAAATAATTAACACATGTCGCCTAGCACAAGTTGACCTTTGATTAAAGGTCAAACAAAATGTTATTGGAAACAACATGAGGAATCTTTAACTGAGAGCCATTAAAGATAGAATTTGTCAGTTGGAGGAGGGGTCATTAGTATTGTTCACTGCTATGTGCGTCTGTGTGCATGGAATACTTGGTGGTGGTGTGAGGTTCAGTTGGTTGCATTACTCATGAGTGATGAAGCCAAGTCTGAGTTATGCAGGTCAGCCTAAACAAGTGCCAAGACAACCTTGTAAAAATGACCTACAACAGCTTTCCTATACATTCAAAATGTATCTACATTAAAGGCTGGTGTCTTGGGACCTTCTAGGGTTAGAAGTAAAAGATTTGTGTCCCACTGGGAAACTGGGAATCTATACTTCCCATTGGGATAAAGCTCCCTTTTCTAGCCTTGTAGAGTCTTGAGACTTTGAAACAATGACATTTATTGTATGGAAAAGCTGTCCTTGGTTCAGGACTGAATCCCGGCTATCAGGCAGTTATAATTCTGGGAGGAAATTCCACATTTGGAAGGAGAAGGAAGAAATATTTACCTAGCTGTGTGAGCACTGAAATATTAGAATAATCTGGATGGGGTGGGAAATGGGCAGGAGAGGCAGTCACAAGAGAGAGAGAAATGTCTCTCATGCCTCTCCAATTTCTCACATAGATATCACTTCCACACACCTGGCATATATGTATATATAAAATAGTGTGTACATATTTATATTTATATTTATAGATAAATAGCACTTAGATGCTATTGTGAAGCATGCTCTAAAACATCTAAGATATACATTATTGGTTATATATTATATATTATATTGCTTTATAAATCATATATAAAAGTCCTGTGGCATTGATATATACTCTTGCTATATAAACAGTCATTGTTACAGAAGCAATAAGGACTTCTGCCTTGTAAAACCTTATAGGAGATGGTTATGCAGGCTGCTTTAGGTAAATCACATGATCAGCATTGAGGAAATCTTTCATGCAAATGCATAGAAAGCAGTTTTAAAAATCATCAGGCTGAATTAGAGCCCCTTCCCTGATCCACTCACATACACTATAGAATCACTTAAGGGTCACCCAGGGATGGACTGGGCTGCAGGGAGCTGTTATGTATATAAGTATTGTGGCGTTCAGGGTTGACACAGCAAAACTGGCATAGCATCCCCTTGCCAGCCTTCTCTACATGCAGCACTTGTGTCTCAGGATATCTTGCCATCACCAGCTGATACCTACAGTAGTTAATTGGCAAAACATTAGACTAGTGGTTGAGAAATAGCCAGGATCAACCATAGAAATGCACCCAGGTGAACCAATTCAACATGAGATTCACCTTGCTTGTCCCAAATGGAGCATTTCCATATACTTCTCACTTCCTCTCATTTCTAGGCCAAATATAAAGCAAATCAATGGTGAAGCAGTCCTGAATCCAAAGGGTACCAAGTGTGGCCGTATCTCAGCTCCCTCTTTCCAGTCATGGATATGTAGCTAAAGCCTCTGCATTGGTGGCATTGCCTAGCGCAAAAAAATTAGAAAATCAAGTCACAGAGTTTCCTCCCAATTCCCAGAGCTAGAATGGCTCGTCTGTGAAAGATCCATTTGGGTTAGCTGTTCCAGTAGCTAAGAATATGTCCTGCAGGTTGTAATAGGAGCTTCAAGACAGCAGAAGGACAGCGCATGTGGAGTAGTTAAGGAAACATACAGGGCCCTGCCTAAATATTTGACCTAGAGCTGCCACTGACTCTCTAGATGTTCTCAGTCCTGAGTCAGCAAAGATTCTCTTTGTGTGGATTGGAGAATTCAAAATTCACATACTTTCAGTGGCAAGTGTTTCAGTGGGCGAAGAGGCAAAGGGGAACTCTTAACATACTTCCCAAGTGACTTGCATTTCCATTTGGGAGCTAACTGACTTCTGGGATACTCTTGAAAACCAGTACATGGGTGAGCAGATTCCAGGCACACCTGAAAGGAATCTTTAAGAGTACTGTGCAAATTTGACTAGGTCCTGGGCCAAACAGCAGAGGCCAGGGGAGTAGAAGACCAACTGTGTCCACTGCTTGGGTGGCTGGAGGAGTGGCTTCATTGTCAGAGTGCTCAGACCTGTGAAAAAAATCCCAGAGAAGAAGCTCTAGAAGGGCATCAGAGCAGCAGGGAACAAGTGGGGAACCGTAAAATGCACAGGCTGTGGATTGGACTTGCTATATGAAATGCAATCCCAAGACTCTTAGGAGACTTTGAGCCCAAATGAGAATTCAAAGACCTGGAGTCTACAAAATATCTGCCCAGCTTCCATGCTTCCAAAAACTAAATGTTGGTGGGGTTTGCATACAACAAAGGTGCTGTAGTACACACATACACGTATGCATGCCTCATTCCCACACATATAGGATCAATACTCTGTCTCATGTAGACTGGCATTAACCTATCCAACAGTGCAATTATTTAACTAAGATGTGCAGTATTATGAAATTAAAGCTCTAGAAAACCTTCCTTACACATTTTAAAGCCTCACTGCCTTTTCCTTCATGTCATGGTTTGATAATTTTTGGTCAGTATTTCATGCCACTCTCCTTAGTGAGATTCAAATATGGGAGAAAGACCCAAAATGGGGAACACATGCATTTTAGAAGTGCACATGGCTAAAACTGATATGGGATTCGTGTCCTGAAAAGTAATGTTTCCTGTAACCTTAGTTTCTTCTTCGAGTGCTTGTACATTTCCATTCCGATGTAAGTATTTGCCCGCCCCAAACACAGTTGCTGGAATTTTTTCCCCTAGTGTGGTATCCATCAGGTCAGCTCTGGTGCCTCCTGGTGCTGCGCACTCCTAGAGCCAGAATAAAGAGCGCTGCTGACCTTGCACCCCCTCAGTTCCTTCTTACCGTCCATGACGGTTGCTGGGACTCCTCTGGTTGCTTCAGCAAACTTCCCAGTGGTTTTTCACTATCTTTCTAGTGTAAATAGTTAATCAGTTGTTTGTAGTTAGTCAGTTTTTAATTATATAAGGGTACGTCTTCACTACCCGCCGGATCGGCGGGTAGTAATCGATCTATCGGGGATCGATTTATCGCGTCTCGTCTAGATGCGATAAATCGATCCCCGAACGCGCTCCCCGTAGACTCCAGAACTCCACCAGAGCGAGAGGCGGAAGCGGAGTCGATCCCGCGCCGTGAGGATGCGAGGTAAGTCGATCTAAGATACGTCAACTTCAGCTACACTATTCTCGTAGCTGAAGTTGCATATCTTAGATCAATCCCTCCCCCTCAGTGTAGACCAGCCCAGTCCACACTGCCCTGGTCGCATCACTGAGACTCCTCATCATCGTAGTCGGGAATGGGGTCATTCTCCTCTTGCCCTCACAGCCGCCCACACTATTCCCTGAGGCACTCGTACTCCTCTATGGCCCCAAACGCATGGGTGCCAACAAGTGCATGGCCCTTCTGAAATCTATGGGGGCCAGTGCCCATGCAGTGGCCCTTCTGGAATCCATGGGGGTTCCCCCCAGCCCAGGGCTCTCTCTCAGGATGCTCCTACTTGGTGGCCTCTGAGAGCAGAGCACCGCCAGTGCCTTTCCAGGAGACTCCTGATCTGAACTCCGGTACTGAGCCCAGTACCGAACTTCAAGAGGAGGCCCCATGGGTCCGCAGCAAAATGGAAGGAGGGGTGGAAGCTCCCTAGCCGGTGCTGGCTTCCTCGTTCTCTTCCCCGGATGAGGCTGTGGTGACAGCTGGTGTGTCTCCTCCCCAGGATAACCACAAAGCTCCCCAAGTGGCCTCAAAGCGAGTGGCCTCAAATCTGGGCATCCAGGCAGATGGCAGTGGGCCACTCAATGAAGCTATCATGGACCCAGTTAAGGTGTTCTGGTAGACCCTCACATCCTTTCCTCCCGTGGCAAAGTGTACGAGGTGGCGTTATTGATTGCCAGAGGAGGGTTACGAGTTCTTACACTCACACCCCCCTCCAGGATCCCTGGTAATGTCAACTGCTAATGAAAGAGATTGCCATGGGCAGTCGGGAGCAATGCCTAAAGCGAAGGACCCCAAAAAACTAGACTTGTTTGGCAGAAAGGTGTATACTACGGGAGGGCTGCAACTTCGCATTGCAAACCAGCAGACACTACTGGGCTGGTATGACTTTAATATGTGTGATGCCATGCAAAAGTTTAAAGACTGGCTGCCTCAAGAAGCCAGACAGGAGTTCTCTTCGGTGGTCAATGAAGGAAAAACAGTAGCGAGGGCCTCCTTACAGGCAGCCGTGGACGTGTCTGACTCTGCGGCCAGATCCATGGCCTTAGCTGTAATCATGTATAGGAGCTCATGGTTGCAGTCGTCTGGGTTTCCTCAGAAGGTTCAGCAAACCCTCAGAATCTCCCCTTTGAAGAATCTTGCTCTTCTCGGAGCAAACTTGATGCTAAACTCCTAAGGATTCCAGGGCAACCTTGACGTCCCTGGTGTTGTATACCCCAGCAGCTTCTAGGAAACATTACAGGCCCCAGCAGGCTGGCCAGTACTTTGCCCCATCAGCCCAGGAGGACCCACAGAGAAGAAAGAACAGGGGGGGTTAGGCATAGGCCTC